TTTGGGCTAATAGGGAACTCAAGTCAGGTATCAGATGGTGCAGCGGCAGTGCTCCTAATGCGGCGTGCGGAAGCAAACAAGCGAGGTCTTCCCATACTTGGCGTCTTCAGGTCAGTGAGTGGGTACATCATGCATTGTAGTCTATCTATACTACTCTTTTGTCTGCAATCTATAGAGATAAACAAGATTCCGGTGAGTGAGTGGGTACATCATGCATTGTAGTCTATGTAGTATATTATATATACTCTTTTGTCTTGCAATCTATAGAGATAGACAAGATTAGATAGATTAGATAGATATAAGGTAGATTAGATAGATTGGATGGATTCGATAGATTAGAAAGATTACAATCATTAGATAAATCATAAATTAGATATAGATGAAATAGACGCATAAAAAATTATGAAATTGAGAAAAAATCCTAAACAGATAAGATAAGCTTAAGAAGTATCAAGGATTGCCCTGCTACTACCCCCCCTAGCTATGCTGTTCCGCACACTTTTTTTTTTTTTTTTTTTTTTTTTTTTTCCCTCTTTCCCCTCTCGCTGGTTTGTTGGATTTGTCGGCAGCACGCATTCTCAATTTATGCGTAGTACCCACCCATCCTCTTCAAAACTTGTCGCCCCAAGGAAACGAGCGGGCCGAAACCTCAAATGCTGGGCCCCTCTTTCCCCTCTCGACTTAAGTCTGGGGCCATGCTAATCTTCTCTGTGTATCGTTCCAGTCTTAAGCCACTCGTACACGGCCCCAGCCTTGCAGTCCAAAACTTGTCGCCGCAAGAAAACGAGGGGCCGAAACGTCAAACGCTGGCGCTGGGCCTGCCGTCAACAAATAAACGGGATCGGCGGTCACGTTTTCGTTTCGCACTTCCAGAATTCGAAGTGCCCCGGGCCGGACACTCCGAATTATGGAAGTGCGAAACGGCCCAGGTGCCCATGTACTGGTGATTTACCGGACGGCAGCACACGTTCTCGTTTCGCTGGCCTGACATCTTGGCAGATATCGGAGCATATTCTGTCCGCCGGGACTTCGCTGGATGTATCTGACCACAAGTATCTCCTTTTGCGGATGGATTTGAGCGTAATTACATCTAGAGTCTAGACTCTAGAGCTCATTTAAAACAGTCCAAGTGTGAGTACACCACCCTCAGTGGGGTGGTGATGGCCAAATCTGTTCCTTTATTTTTATGTTATTTTAGCCTGCAAATTGGCTGCAATTGATTGCAACGTTTTTTATTTTATTTTTTGTCTTTTTCCTGATTGCAAGTTGAAAAGCTGAATGTGAAAACATCATCGGATTGTCTTGTTTCTGCTTTTCACTGTTGCAGGACCTTTGTGGCTGTCGGAGTCGATCCGGCAATCATGGGTGTGGGACCGGCGTATGCTATCCCCGAAGCGGTTAAGAAAGCCGGGTTAGAGATTGCTGATATCGATCTCTACGAGTTGAATGAGGTGAGAGAGAGAGAGAGAGAGAGAGATTGCTGATATCGATCTCTACGAGTTGAATGAGGTGAGAGAGAGAGAGAGAGAGAGAGAGAGAGAGAGAGAGAGAGCCGGGTTAGAGATTGCTGATATCGATCTCTACGAGTTGAATGAGGTGAGAGAGAGAGAGAGAGAGAGAGAGAGAGTATTTCTGATGTTTCTGGATGACATGGAGCCTCACTCCGCTACACATTTTTTTACATGTATCTGGACTGTTCTTGCGGACCAGTTACATTCGGACGGATCGAATGTCTTGAATGCATTCAGACTAGTAGCAGTTCCAGATACATTTAGAATGTAGTGCAGTGGAGTGAGGCCCATGGCGACACGATTGGAGTCCCTGAATGTATGTACAAAAAGCATAAAAAAAAAAAGAAGATAAAATTTCATAAAAAAAGGGTGTGTCAACTGAGCTAGAGGCCTGTTGATGATACAGGGGCTCAGAAATCTCAGTCCAAATTTAAACCAGGGCAGAAAACTTTGCCTCATCAGATGCATGAATCTGCTCAGTTTTTTTTTTGTTTTTTGTTTTTTTTTGCCCAGTTTTTTCTTAATAGCCCGGGCCGCATGTTCTTGGCTACTTTCCATTCCACCAACCCTCAGTCGGGACTCCGTTTTGTTATTCTTCTCTACACTATTAAGATCACTAAGGGAACCGACGACGGTCCTCGGAACTCGATGCTCTCTGATCCGGGGCGTCGTCGGTCCTACCGGCCCATGGCCAGGATCGTCCGAAACATGTAATAAATCTGAAATCCCAGCCGTCGGTCCATCCGGTAGGACGGGCCGTATCGGCGTGCGATCTTAAGATCTTAAGACCGGGCGTCAATCCAGGCCGCTGGCCCGGTACCTTGGGCCCGACGACCCGGATTATTTGCCTGTTGGAGAGGGCCGCGAAACCTACCGGTGGTTTCTTGGCGCGGTACCTACCGGTGGGGTTTTGTGTTCGGGCAAACGGGTTCCCGTAGGCTGCCCGTGATGTAACTACTTTTTCGTGGCGGCGTGTACTGTTTTTGGGTGGGGGCGTGCCTTTTTGGTGGTGGCATGGGCACAAATTCTACGGCGTGGGAAAGACCCACCCCTATGCTACTCTACTCTGTACTATAGACTTCTACTTTCCTATCCTATGCTACTACGCTTGACGTCGACCTTACTACTCTACACTACACTACCACGCTCGACTTCGACTTGGCATGTGGATACACACACACACACACAGACACACACACGGCATCCGAGCAGACTGTCGGGGTTCAACCTCCTGATGAGTCGGTGGAAGTGGACTCGTGGATGTTTCACCGGTTATCGCTGACGAACGCAGCATTATATAACCGAACGCAGAATTGAAGAATTCTTTTTTTTTCCGCCCTCTGAATGATCACGGACAGTGTCCTGCTGCTTGCCTTTCTTGAAAAATTTCAAATTTGTTTAGCGGCAACCTTAGCCCATCTTACTGTTTACAAATCTGTTTATCACATTTGTCTCCACACATCTGTTTATCAAATCTGTTAAGCTACACACATGAGTGTACTAGTAGTGTGTGTACCATTCGGCCGTGGGGCTGCGTACCTGAATTACTACTCCTTCGTTCAGTCAATGCCGACCTGTGGCATTTGTCATCGTTTTTTTTTTGTTTTTTTTTCCCTCACTGAGTGGCTCGATGAATAATCAAGATTCAAGACCAAAGAGTGCAGAGTCTGCAGACCATCAAAATCACAATGGCTCACAGAAGCAAAATCACAGTGGCTCACATAGAGGTCTTGGAATGTAGCTGAATGTAGCTGTTGATATTCACACACAGGCCTGAGTGGCACATAATCTGTTTATCAAGACACAGGAAAGTGCATTCAATCACTCACACTCACATTCATACTTGCTCTTACTCTCACACTCACACTCACACTCACACTCACACTCACACTCACACTCAACCATTCAACTCTTGCTCTCACACTCAACACTCACTCTCACACTCTTAACACTCACACTCACACTCGCACTCACATTCACACTCGCACTCACACTCACTCTCACACTCACTCTCACATAATCCCTAAACTCTCGCGCACTCACACTCTTAACACGCACAGTCACACTCACACTCACTCCTAAACCCTAAACCCTAAACCCTAAACCCTACACCCTAAACCCTGAACATCACACTCACACTCGCCCTCATGCTAACACCCACACTCCTAAACCCCTAGACCCTAAACGTCACACTCACACTCACACTCAGTTTCTTAAACCGCCAGTACATGCCCCCAGCCTTGCAGAACTTTGTTCGTTGCCTATTCCAGAAATTTCGTGGGTCGGGCCTACTGAACCGCAATAGCTGGCTGTGCCAGCCAAGAAGGGAAAAAAAGTGTCCTGCTGGCGGTTCGGAAAAGCTTGGCACACAGAAATGCGCCTCCACGCCCGCGTGTGCTGGTGGTTTACACAACAAAAAAATAAAAAATAAAAAAAAATGACCCTGAAACCCTAAACCCTGAACATCACACTCACACTCACGCTCACACTCACACTCACTCACACTCACACTTACACTCGACCCTTAACCCTTAACACGCGTACTCCCGCAGACCTCGAGTACAATCACTATCCTATCCTCCCACTCTTTCTTCTTTTCTGTCATTCTGCTTAGTCATCTGTTGGTTCCTTGGTGTCAATGGTGTGTGGTGCTTAGTGTGTGCGTAGACTGATTTTCTTTCTTTCCTTGAATTTCTTATTGCCTCTGTCGATCTCTATTTTGTTAATAATCTCTTGAACTTTTTACTCCGTTCTGTACTTAACTGTCTTTGTGGGTTTGTGCATTCACCACCCTGGGTTTTTGGTCGCAGGCTTTCGCTTCGCAGGCGACCTATTGTATGAAGAAACTGGAGTTGGACCCGGAGAAGGTGAACGTCAATGGTGGAGCCATTGCACTTGGTCATCCTCTGGGTATGACTGGTGAGTACTTGGCTCCCATGGGGTTTCCAGATGTCGGGGTTTGTTGGGGTCTGGCAGAAGAAGGAGGGAGGGGGGGGGGGGGGGGGGGGGGGGGGGGGGGGAAGGGGGGGGGGGGGGGGGGAGGTGGGCAGGGTGTTAGATCGCGTAAGGAGGGGTCCAAATTCCGTTTGCAGTTTGAACAATGACCCAGGTATAGGAAGCGAAGATGCGTTCATTGCATTTATGATTTTTGTCATACTGGTGCCATGGTCTTGCTCGTTTTTTTTGTCTTTTTCTTCTTGTTGTGCAACTACCAGTGTGCTGAGCTCCTTATTCACAGATCTCTCTTTGTCTGCCTCTTCCCCCCTCCCCGCCTCTTGCCCTCCACCGCAAAAAAGAACTCTTTTTTGCCTCTTAGTAGCATACCCCCCCTCTCTGTTCCCCCACCCCTGCCCTCTTTCCTCGTCCTGTCCGCTGTGTATTCCCTAGTTTCCAGAGGAGGATTTTATTGGCAGGGGGGAAAGAGGAGTAGGAACAGATGAGTACCGTCCGGATTTCATAAACAAATGATGACTGATGAGAATCACACAACCATGCATTCACCGAAGGGAGGGAAATCCTGGAGGGAGGGGGCCGCCGCTGTGACAGAGTGCTTCAGAAAGAATGATTGGGTCTCCTCAGCTGGCTGGAACAGGGGCTGTTGTGGCGAAAATCTACGACACGCACACACACACACACACACACACACACACACGCACACACACACACACACACACACAATCTGGCCCGGACAATCTTGCCAGGACCATCTTGCCCGGACAATTGCGCCAGGTGCATCTTGCCCGGACAATGTCGCTAGGACTATCTTGCTCAAAGAATCTGGCTTTGACGAACTGGCTGGCTCTGGAGCAAGATGGACCTAGCTACTCGGTGTATCCAACATGTGTTATAGTTCTTCTGGACCTAGCTACTTGGTTTACCCAACATGTGTTATAGTTTTTAGGTAAGGGATATTATAGCCTCTAGGTATGGGCAGTTTTCTGTGGAATGAAGCTATGGGTTAGGATGGGATCATGAGAAGTCATCTCGGTTTGCTTATCTGTTGTGTATGATTGGGTTCCGGGGCGGGGTATGCTTATCCGTTGTGTATGATTGGGTTCCGGGGCGGGGGTGGGGGCGGCGGCGGGTGATTAAACTTTCGAGCAGGTGCAAGATGCGTAGCCACCCTTCTCCATGAAATGAAGAAGCGCGGCAAGGACTGTCGATTTGGAGTGGTCTCCATGTGCATCGGTATGTATATCGAGTCATTATCGACAAATACGTACTTGGTCACGTTCATTTATCAGGTGCATGATCGCATATGGCAAAACGGAAAAAAAAAAAAAAAAAAAAAGGGTCGTCGGAATGCCATCGGTGCTGGGAAATGAAAGTCTTAGATGACTTCTCTGTTATTCAGCTTTAATCAGGGTTAATGTTCCGCTTGCCTGGGGCCCGAATATGGCACGCGGGCACACACTTGACTGACTGGCTGGCCACGCAATGAAGATGCCTGTTCTGTTATTCAGCTTTACTGGTGTGCCAGGGCACGAATATTGGCACCCGGGCATACGCCCGACCGCCTGGCTGGGCTGGACGCCCAGGCGGGGTCTCGGCAGGCGCAGCGCAAAATAGAGAAAAATGAAAAAAAACAAGAAATTCTTGGGGGGGCCATGCAAACAAGTTTTGGAAGAGCCTCACCTTGGAATTCGTCAATGAAGTGAAGATGAAATAGAAAATAATAAACATAATTAATAACTAAATAATAAATATCCTTTGGACATCCACCGTTGAAAATGGAACGGCCAACGAGCCTAACTCAGGGCATACTCACACTGTCACGTTCCTAAATGCATCTGACTGCAATTACAGCTGTACGTGAATGTTCCTGACCGCAATTACGTGCAGAAACAAGTTAAAAGTTGGCAGTGTTTCTCAAAAAAAAAAAAAAAAAAAAAGAAGTGGCAGTGTGAGTATGCCCGCAGCTGGTAAACTCGTGAACTGTTCAATTACAGATGCACGTTCGAATCCTGATGGACCTAGATGAATGCAATGAAGTTGCTGTTTCTTCGTTTTTTTATTATTATTATTATTATTATTATTTTTATTTTTTTTTAAAAGCAAGAATCCTTGGTGCTCCGGTCTATTGGTGGGGAGCAGCACCTGCTGGAAAGTGGGTCCAGCGTCCCACTATACATCAGGAGGCCTGCCACATTTTTTATTTTTTTTTTGAACGAAATTGAAAACAACTAATGTGAGGTTTTATGCGAATCCGCCCGAGCCAGGTGAAAATTTTGACGAAATTGAGGGTCCGGTGTTCTTAAAGTGCCGTACCTCCTTGACCGGGTTGAGTCCAGATACGTCCAGGGGGTGCGGAGTTCTTCAAAAGCTGGACACCCTGGTCTCCAGCTAAGTCCACATACATCCTGGGGATCCAGCATTTTAAGAACGCCAGACCCTCGAGAGCGAAAACTTTTGACTTGAATGGCGCAGATTTGGGCCAATTTAGTCGGCTTCAATTTCGTTCAATTTCGTTAAAAAAAACAAAAATAAAACATGTCCGTTTTGACGAAATTGTTGTTCGCCTTCCTCTTTTCTTTTCAAATTGGAACGTGACAGCGAAGAAGAGCATGGAGAAAGATTCTCTTTTTTTTTGGGGGGGGGAACCATGGTGCCTTTTCTATTTTTTGGTGGGGGGGGGGGACCGTTTCGTGATTTATCTATGCCGTCCTTGCGCAGGGGTCGTGCTAATCTTCGCTGTATGGTTCCAAGTGAAAATCCCGGATTTGGGCTGCTTTCCTTGGGTGCAGAAAAGCACCACGGAGGGAAAAAAAAAACAAAAAAAAAAACAGAGCTTTTACATGTACCCCGAGTGGGTGGACGGCCCAGGCGACCTGCACGGGTGCAAGAGTGTCGCATGAGACAAGTGCACTTGTCACTTTTTGCACTCTTTCGCTTTGTTTCACCCCCTCCCACATTCATAGTCGTTAGCTTCGCCATCTCTCCCCCTCTTCCCCCCTCTGCCTGCCCACCTCCACCCCTGTGTGCCGCTCAGCGCCACCCAGTGGCTCCCCGTCCTCTACTGTAACCGGCTTCTCTCTCTCTCTCTCTCTCTCTCTCTCTCTCTCTCTCTCTCTCTCTCTCTCTCTCAGCCTGTTGACTCGTTGCGAAATAGAGTTCATATTTTCATATCCTTTCCCAGTGTTATTTGTGGAATAGAGTTCATAACTTCGTATCCAAATTGGCTGAGATATTTGTGACATGTTGATGATGCCCTTTTCCAACCTTGTCAGTGGTCAAGTCTTAGTTTTTAATTTAATAATAATCATTGAATAATGTGATGTAACTTTTAATTCAAAAAACGAAAAAGAAAAAAGGACTGAAGTTAGAAGTTCGAACCCATGGGTTGAGTTTCAGGGACCTGAGTGTAGTCTATGGAGTGAGAATGTGATTCTTTTTTTTTTTTTTTTTGTAACTATTTGTTATTTTAACTTATTTATTTATTTATTTATTTATTTGATTGATTGATTGATTGATTGATTCGGGTGCTTGCAGGGACGGGCATGGGTGCTGCTGGTGTATTTGAGCGAGGCAGCGTCGTCGATCCTCTCTCGAATGCGAGGGCAGTCGAGACACAGAACTTTCTCTCTAGGGATGCAACTGTGTAATAAATAATAGTATGGTGGAGGAGGGGACGTATGTGGACATTGTCGCGTCTGCATGCAGTGAATCTAGTCATGCTGCATGACTTGACGACTTGACCGATCAAGTCATACAGCATCCTCAGAACTTTTGGTGCGGCGGTCCCGGGCGCGCTATGTGGCGCCCGTCCATCTTTACAAGGGTTCTTTTTTTTTTCTGAAGGTGTTGCAGGAACGAAGCATGCGACGGCGCGAAAGGTGTGTCCTGAGTGTTTTGACGCGAGTTTTTGGTTGCGCGTTGGACTCGACAAAAATCTCCCATGATCTGCAAAGAGAGGGAGAGAGCATATCACCAGGCGAGTCGGCGGTGACCCGTACTACCGTTTTTCTTTTAACTCCTACTTCGACGCGAAAACCCCTACTTCGAGGAAACGGCACGAAGCATGTAACATAACCCTGCTATGCATGAGACTTTGTGGGTACACGTAGGAAGGGTACAAATGGATAGCCTTTTAGGGCCTTTTAGGGTCTTTTAGGGCCTTCTTGGGTTTTTTTGGGGACTTATACCCATACAATTAGAAAATGGCGCGAAGCATGTACGTATCCCCGCTATGCATGAGACCTTTGTGGGGACGTCGGCGTAGGAAGGGTACGAATGGATAGCCTCTTAGGGCCTTTGAGGGTCTTTAAGGGCCTTTTCAGGCCTTTATGGAACTTATAGGGGCTTTTTTAGGGTCTTTTAGGGCCTTTTAGAGCCTTTTTGGGCCTTCTCGGGTCTCTTCGGGTCTTATAGGAACTTTTTTACAGTGTCTTAGGGCTTTCCGGAGCCTTTTAGGAAATTTAGGGTCTTTTAGGGGGGGGTTATATGGGCTTTTTTAGGGTTTTCTAGGGTCTTTCCGGTGCTCTTAGGCTCTTGTAGGTGGTGGGTGTGCTCTCATAGATGCCCACTTTTGTCAGTGGACGATGCAGTGGGGAAAATCCCTCTCTCTTACGCAAAAGGAGCCACTGACACTCAACGAGGAGTGAGTGACGGATGGCAGGAGCACATATCACCCCTGCTGGCAGGCGCCCCCAGATTTCAGGAAAAAAAAGGATTTTTCACGGAGTCCGTACTATCGAGCTGAGCAGAGGGCGGTGTGGTGTGAGTACTCAGAGGGAGGTCTTGTCTGAGATTGCGTCTGAGGGTGGACACTGGACTTGCATTACGAGTTTTTGACTGGTAATTGCAGCCAGATACATCCATTGCAGGCCGTTATTGCGGTCATATACGTCTGGGAAAGTTATGGTATGGTGGGTATGCTCTCGGAGGTGAGGTCTGTGAGACCTTGAGAAGCCAGGAGGTTCTCTCGTTGCATGATTTCCTGGATGCATCTGACTGGGAATACGGCCCTGGACGCATATGACCGGGAATACGGCCAAATACAGAGGCCTGCATGCTCAAAAGAACTGACAATGGACTCCAGGAAGTGCAGATGCTGTCGGTATCAGAGGTCTTGCTGAGGACACACACGTTCGACTTTTCTGCCCGTATTTGACTGCATTTGTGACCAGATCCGGTCCAGAAAATCCCAGTCAACGTCGTAAAAAAAGGGATTGATGGCAGTCTCTCAGAGACGTTCTCAGAGAGTTTAGGTCAGGTGTTTTCTGAGGTGCTCGCAGTCTCAGAGATGCTGTTTGAGACTTGGGGCGTATTCACACTACTATCAACTTTTATGGGCGTATTGGGTCGCATTGCTGACCAGTTTCATTACAGAAAAAAACTACCATGACTATGCCTTTGTAGTAGGGGGAGCTGTTGTCCGCTTACTCAGGGCAGAATACAAAGAGAGTTCGTTATTCACAGCACAGCGGAGTGATCTTAGGCTGGGCTTTAAAAAAAAACACCACTGCATAGGAGGGAGGGGGGGGGGGGGTCCTGCAATGTGCAGGGGTTGTTCTTCTCCATCCCCCTCCTCCCTTATACACACGCCCCTTGGACTGCCAGAAATGGGTATCGTGGTACCTGTGGGGCTTGTTTAGCCATGGCAGGTCAGGTCTGTATGTAGGGTGACCCCCAACTTGGCCCCCCCCGCCGCCCCTGCCGATTGGCCCTGAATCTACTTTGGCAAGCGTCATTTTCACTGGAGACCCTGGACTCCTTAACCATTTCGAGGTCGGGCCTACCGGAGGTTGTGACCTTGGATGTGTCAGTAGTGGGCCAACCGACCCATGTCAGGCTTGGATTGGTCAGTAGGTTCACAGGGGGTTGCAGGCTTGGATGGGTCCGTAGGTTTTAATTACGGGGGGTTGCAGGTTTCGATGGTTCAGTAGGGGTTTACGGGGGGGATTGCAGGCTTGGACGAATCAGTAGTTAGGCCAAATGACCCACGGCTGGCTTGGATGGGCCGGCAGCCTTGGATGGAAACAGGAAATTGGAGGCTTGGATGGGTCAGTAGTAGGCCAACTGACCCATAACATTTGGATAGGTCAGGAGGCCTACCGGATATTGCAGGCTACCAGATATTGTAGGGCTTGGATGGGTAAGTCGGCCTATTGGAAATTTCAGGCTTGGATGGCCCAGGAAGGCTGTGGGCCAACTGACCCAGGCAGGCTTGGAGGGCCCACAGCTCTGCGTACACTGGTTTGAAGTTTTGAACCCAGGAAAGTGGATGGTATGGGGGTGTCATCTGAAACTTAGAGAGAAAGGCATCTTGGGACTCCTGGAACTCCTGGAACTC